TGTCTACTAGGAACACAAAGACACCAAAGACGGTCATTTTTAAGTTCCATGGGTGGATCCAGGAATATCAAAAGGGGGAAGGTCCAAGAAGTTTTGGGCGAGCCCATCCATCTTGGGTACATAAGGAGGTGGTGTCGCCAGAATTGCACTTGACTGCCCTTCACTTCCCCAGCTGTAGTGTTGATAGGTAAAGTTTCCTACTCCTGATTGGATATAGCATAAAGGTTGCTCTCATATCTGTGGTTAAAACCTTGGCAGCCTTACCTAACCTAACCTTGGTTTTCAATCATTGTAGTCTACAATGACTTTCATGACAATCTTGATACATTTTGTAATTTTAATCATGTATTTTTAGGCAAAAGCACCTTGTGATAATGCATATACTCAGAGAAGCAATTGTTTACTATGGGTTTGCTTTACCAAGTAATATATTAAAATCTGTTATTACTTTTTAGGAGGACCAAGCGGTGTACCACAGCCCTGACTGCAACAGAAGAGGCAATGGCTGGTTAAATTAGTGATGTTGCCATTCAGGGATGTTTGTTTCAGAAGAAGAGTAATTTATTTTCCAATTGTAGCCTCGGGGGTGGAAGGTTAGGTTAGCCAGTTGCGTTTGATGAAATCGACTCACTGGAACAACTGCATCGGGAAGAATTACAATATAAATTTACTGTTAATTTAGGTTAGATTCTGTGCAGGAGGTCGCAGTAAATGCCTTACAAGAACTTGATGCATCAGTAGGGGCATGGGGAGCTGAGTAGATGGCCTCGGCATAGGTTTGTTTTAACTCCTTGTATTACATACAATTCAAATATGTAAATTTTTTGTCTATTTTGGGTTTTTTATATTTTCTTTTGCCATTACCTTGCAACTGTTATTTTAGTCATATACAGTAATGAGAATCTCATGGTAGTTACAGTATTTCCTTTATCAATTATTATCTGCTACTGTAAAGTGCAATTTCTTTTTATCTTGTGATTTAGTATAGTCGGAGGAAAGAAAAAATAATATTTATTTTTATTATAATATTTTCCTGTGTACCTACTTATTAAAACAATAAAAGTGTTAAACTTCATTTTAGTTCATTGACCCTTTATTTCTTAGTAATTTTTACGTGAAATATTTCAAAGGTATCTTATATACATCTTCCTCTGAAAACTGAATATAGTAGTTATTGCAGCTTCATAGTAAAAATTTGAAAGAAGGCCCTTGGTATGTGTGCCACATATGAAATGAAAAATATACCTTTCAAGGCACTCTAACTCACATACAAAATATCTTGGTATGGCTAGGACCAAGTTATAGCAAGCTATTCTGCCAAGTATCCAAGAAGTACCCATGACTCATACCTGTGTGCCAACAGTAATCTACAAAGGTTCTTTGGTAATGAATAAGTATTGCTATGAAAGGTTAGGTAAGGTAAAGGTAAGGTCAGGGTAGGTTAGAAAAGGGGATGTTAGGGTAAGGTACATTTCTATAATTTTGCGGCAAAAAAGACCATCACTACTGATTGTATTAAATCAAGAACCTATGAAAAATACTTTTGTAAGAAAAATGTGATGCTACAGTAAAGCAATTTTGCCACCCCTCTATACACACACACACATATATATATATATATATATATATGTGTGTGTGTAGAGGGTGGCAAAAATTGCAGAACTGTAGCATCACATATATATATATATATCTTTGACACGACATTCTTATTTCGTTTTATTCAAGACATCTTCTGTATATAACCGAAGATGTCTTGAATAAAGACGAAAGCTAAGGTGCCCTTTTGCTCTCTTTCCCGTGATTTTATCAAGATTTATCTTATCCACGTTTTCATTGTGATCTACATGAAATATATATATATATATATATATATATATATATATATATATATATATATATATATATATATATATATATATATATATATTGGATTGTTTTGGTCACAGGTTAACCATTGTCCTCAAGTATAACTCAATCATAATTCTATATTAATGACGCTTAAAGGACGTCTAGCAGCTGTATGTATTTTGCTACTGGTTGTATAGCAGAGAAAACGGCCTTATTTCCGCCTTGCAATAGCTTACGAGGATTCAAAAGTCACCGTAAGTTATGAAAGAAAGTCAGCCATTTTAAATCGAGTTGTGGACATCCTAAGTCTTCAGTGAATCACCACCACAAGAGTTTATGAACTTTTAAGCACTTACGATGATCGTATCCCGCTAGTGAATGGGCCAGGGTGTTTAATCGTCATGTGAAGCAAGCTGGGATACCTAATATGCAGGTGATTAAAAAGTTAAATAACATCATGATTATTTTAACAAAGGAATAGCAACTACCTAACTCGAAATCTAACCTAACAAGAGAAAGTTGACTTATTAACTAAACAGCTACTTACTAACCTGAAGACTAATTAACAAGAGATGTAATAAATAATTTGGTATTTAAGGGGAGAAGAGATGAGTCTGTGAGGGAATGATAGACTGAGGACACGAGGCTAGATGGAGACCACCAGCCAAAAAGGGATTAGTGGGGGGAGGGAGGGAGGAGGAGGAGGGTGAGGGAGGGGAGGGAGGGGGGTGGAGGAGGAGGGAGGGGGTGAGGGAGGGAGGAGGAGGTGAGGGTCTGGTAAAAAGTCATGTGAACAAGTTTGGGAACTACTGCTTTAAATCAACGAGCAAGTTGAACAAGTCATCCCAATCTACCCTGACCTAATCATCTAAGCCTCTAAGGTTGGTTTTGTTGGTTTGGTTTAGTTAGATTTGGATAAGTTATGTTAGTTTAAGGTGTTTGGGTTATGTTAGTTTTGATTGGTTTGGTTTGGTAAGGTAGGTTTGGTTAGGTTAGGTTAGGTTCGGTTAAGTAAGGTTTGATTTAGCTTGGATGGTTAATCTACAGGTGAAATAACACAGCAAACACAGGTAACACAGCAAAACAAACCGAACTTCACCTGTCCAGCACCATAAATGAGGTCAATTTAACGTATGACAATTTGAGTACCCAAGCCAAGTACCTCTTTGTTACGTACTATAGGAAGTTACTGATGGGTGTACCTGAACATATGCCAGTGGTGCACAAGCGTAGACCTAAAGATTACATTTGGTACTGTTATAATATTCACTGGATGAGACCCTTCAGTGGGGTATTTCTCAGCTGTGTGTTGATGTGTTGAGTCGCCCCTCGTACTGTGAGCCATGTTGGACCAGTATGATGTCTTCGTCAAGCCTAGCAGCCTCCACGTAGCCTCGCTTCTTAAACTGCTGCACCACTGAGTCTATTTCGTGTTTCTTCTTCCACTCTATACACAACACCTGTAACATCTGTGTTCTTTAATCCTTTGTCATAATATATAAACATTCTTAAATATTAGTAAGCCTCTGGAAAGAAAACATTTTATCACCTTTCATAAACCTCTAAAACGATAGTAAAATGTTTACAACACTAACAACAAAAACAACAACAATAACAACAACGAATTCAACTTGCGTAAAAACTGTAACTAAATACTTGCCTGAACGTTAAACTTCTGCAGGTCGAAGTGTCCTAAAATGGCCAATTCGGCACCTTCCACGTCGAGTACTAGCAGGTCGACCCTCGTCACTCCCAGACTCAGCAGGATAGACTCAAGAGGGATACACTGCACCTTGGTGAACCAGGAGCTACTTGTGGCCTGGTGAAGGAAGAGTTTGAGAACCTCGTTTGTTTATAATTCTAAATGACTATTTTCTTTACGACTCTACCTACTTTTACCTGTCATAACAATTATCATTAATGGTTGAAGTTGATTAGTTTGTGGTCACTGAGTAACTTACGCCAAATCGGCACGTTAATGACCATACTTAACCTCACCAGTAACAAATATATTCAGGTGAGAATCATTCCCTTATTTACATGGTGACAATAAGGTAAATGCGATTCATAGTAATGTAGGTAAAGTGAGACAGAGAGACAAGTGATTGGTGGGATTAGTTAAGTTTGGTTTAGGTTAGGCCAGGTTAAGTTAGGTTAAGTTAGACTACCGGGCGCTGTCCAGCCACTCACCACAAGTACCCAGGACCACCCAGGTAAGATCATAGACACACAGGACCCCCAGGTAAGACTTCCTCATAGACACACAGACCCCCAGGTAAGACTACATACACACACAGACCCCAGGTAAGATCATAGACACACACAGGACCCCAGTAAGATCATAGACACACAGGACCCCCAGGTAAGATCATAGACACACACAGGACCCCCAGGTAAGATCATAGATACACACAGGACCCCAGGTAAGATCACACACACACAGGACCCCCAGGTAAGATCATAGACACACACAGGACCCCCAGGTAAGATCATCGATACACACAGGACCCCCAGGTAAGATCACACACACACAGGACCCCCAGGTAAGATCATAGACACTGACTTTCTCGTTGTACTTGGTGAGGCCATGCATGGACCTCATCTTGAATCCTAGACTGAGAGCCAAAGGACCAGGGTAGTGAGGGTATATGTAGAACATCTCCTGTGGCAAGAAAGATACATTAGTTCATTACTCGATCCAATGTTGTGGTTAGATTATGTTATTATTGGTTCTATTTATCTATCCTCTCTCACTTTTATATTGGGTGGATGAATGGGGAACTGAAATTTGAAATGAAACGTGAAAAAAGGGATTTTATACAGTAGACACCAAACTTTAATACAAGGGATACTAATTTCAGCAATTTTCTTTCACGTAAAACAACATCAGATTTTTAACCTTGGAGGGATAAGGTGTTGGGGCAAGGCAGACGTTGGCGGCCCAGGCTCGTCTATGTTTGGTGATGAGCGAGAGGTAAGCAGTACGGTCAGCCTCCACTAGTAGCCCAGTCCAGCCTAACTCTCTCTCCAGCCATAGTGTGTTGGACATCGTTTCTCCGTCCAACGCTCCCGCCTCCACGAAGAACCCATCACTCTGAGGGATGGCAGAGGAGTCTAAAAAGTTGTCTGTTGTAAGAAACTAAATCTAAAAGTTGCTTAAGATCTTGAAGACAAAACTTTAAAGGGATAAACCATCATTCTGAAAGGGTTAACATCCCTGGCCATTGAAATACCCAATAGTAAGACCAAGAGAAAGATGCTTTATAACTCTGGCACTTGTAATACTCAAAACAACTAACCTTATCCTTGAAGAGAGTTCTGAGGGACTTGTTATAGAAGATTTCACTCTCCTCCACTAGTATCTGAGCGACGTTCCTTTTCTCCAAGAGGTCGTAAGGCTCACTGGAGGGCGGCTGAAGGAGCTGGAAGGATGGGGAGTAATATTAATAGAGTATTGTACGAACCAGGGAGTGATTAATAGAGATAACTGAACATAAAGGCTTAGCACACACACACACACACACACACAGAGATCAATTTAATCAGCCTTTGTCGAGCTGGTGATGACTTTACCTTCCTGAATATCAAACACTGTACTGTATATCCATGGATGTCAGATATCTAACATCCGATCCATCACTATTTATATTTACTTATTTATCCTCTTCACCACTCACACTTACCTCTTCTCTGATGTAAGTGAGAAGCTCGGGGTCGTCTGCTGGTAAGGGTCCCTCTAATGATCTTAACAAGTAATCTGAAATGATTTATCAGGACAAGATCAATAACTTTAATCTTGTGTAAGTAAATATTAACATATGGTTAAAAGAAGGCGAATATCCCTGGCGGTAGTGTAATGTTTCGTTACACCGTTGATTAAACTGTTAACGAAGAAAGATGAACTAACAAAATCTACTTACACTCCACCGGCACAAAACACACAAAACAAGAAATATTAATTTAAAGAGTGAAATTTGTTAGCAGTGTTGGATTGCGGACTTACTGGTGTAGGTGTGAGTTAGGGCGGTGCACACCAGCGCCAGAAGGACCACCACCGCTACCACAATCCCTCCCCACCACACCCAAAGGCGGCATCTGAACCACCACCTCATGTTGCAACCTGGGGGAGAGAGACGGCATATAGATTCTGCTTAAAAGATATAAAAGTTTAATCGGAGACAGAGCGAGAAAAGATCTGTACGAGCTGTTCAAATGGTCACAAGACTGGCAAATGCTTTTTAACATTCCAAAATGTACGACTGCGCGTAGGTAGGATACAACGACCCTAATCACAACTGATCCGTTATAAACACTTTCTTAGATACTGTTGATAATGAGAAATATCTTGGCGTTGTTATAGATTGGTCACTGAAGGCGGTGCAACAAGAGATTTAAGAATTACAAAGATAAGAAAATGCTCCTTCAGCTTCATAAGTCTCTAATACGTCCCCGTCTGGATTACTGTATACAGGCATGGAAACTTTACCTCCAGAAAGAACAAACATTCTTGATTATCCAAGTAAACTGATGGCCTTAGGACTAACGTTTGTTCACACAAGAGAAAAGGAATATCTCAGACATTCAATATCTTGAAAGGGATGGAAAACGTGAACCCGGGTCATTTTTTCGTGATGTTAATCACCACCGACACAGATGACGCATAATACAGAACCTTATATACTCCTACTCATGTATAACACAACGAACAGGTGGTTTAGTTAATTTCTCCTCGAGGTACTAATTATTATCAACGCAGTCTTACATATTTACAGGTTTGCTAAAGTAACATTATTTCATTCACTAACATTGTGTACTGTATATCTTCCTTAAGGAAGTCATTTAGGACGATTAAGTGCAGTCATGATATTGGAGTTCAGAAATCCTCAAACTTACCTTCAATTAATCGAGATCTGTTCGCCTTAATGTATAATGTTTCGTATTTCCCGTGAAGAATCAGAGCATTTGTGTGTGTATGTGTGTTGTAGCCACTGAGGAAGGCTGTGAACTGAGAGACTGCTGGCTAGCCGGGCGGTGATTGGTTAGTAGCTGCCCCCTGGACGCCGCTCAGTGCTCCAGGAAGCGCTGCGGATTGGTTGGGTGGTGCTCTAGGGTATAGATGCTGCGTGGCAAATAACAAATGTTCTCGTATATCCACTGTATTTTGAACTGTTATCCTGTTTATTCCTTGATAGAGGAAGCGGGATCCTAGTGCTGTCACTAGGTACCCCTATACAATAACACCAGAAGCATCTGGCAAGTGTCACAAGTATATACAGCATAAATATCATAAAGGGGCTTACTAAAGCCTAAGGAAGGAAGGATATTCCTTTAACACATATTATTTATATATTAATTGTACTAAAGTTACGCAGTATACCACATGTACTATTAATATATAAATTTCTAATATATAAATAATTCAGACAAAGTAAGTAGTATTGTTTACAGGGCAGGAAAAGCTTCATCTTACAAACGAGGAAAAAGGGAAGCTGAATTTTTACCGCAGGTAGAGGAGGAGGAGGAGGAGGAGGACTGATTATATTAATTCAGGGTGACACGCTAGGCTTTAAGGTTAATGAAACTTGTGACTGCTGCAACACCTGACCTCGGTTGAGAGGAGGGTCACATTACAGGTAAATGTTGTAAACAAACTAGAACCGAACGAGAAACACCTAAACACCCAAATAAAGTAAGTAGATGTTTCATATTCTAATAATAAAAAATGACCTTAATAGACACAAGCTTTTAACGCATTTCTTGGACTATTCCAGGTTGAAATTACTAACTGTTTACCATTGTTTGTATACCTGCACTATCTATATATATATGGTGAACAAAATAATGTGATCTCGTATGACAATTTTACTGAATCTATCTATCGCAGCCTATAGTTGTAGACGAATATGTCTGTTAAGATTCATCGTCACGAAAAATGTAAAAGGACGCACCTAGGTCGTACCAATAATAAGGAGGTGTATCACATGGCCCAACGTGACGAGGAAACACCATTAACTGAGAACAAATGTAAAAAGAACCTGGGTGTGTATGCTGACAAACTGAAATTCTGGGACCACTGTGAGAAGAAGTTAAATCAAGCAAATAATCTGGTATAGGTCTTATAAGATGGGCGTTCACTTGCCTCATAACGTTCTCCAGAAGTGAGATATACTTCCCTATCTGGAGAACTGTATCCCCTCTGGTCCCCATGATATGTTAGAGACTGTCAGTTGATTGAGAACGGCCAAATAGGGCCACCAGACAGGATGACTTCACTACGGCACCTCAGGTACCCAGAGAGATTAAAACGCCTGCAGTAACCTAGCTTATCCTATAGACGGTCGAGGGTTGACTTAATAGAAGTCTTTAAGCACATCAGTCGAGTATTCATACCTGGAACTAGTGGATACCTTCCCCACTCGAGGTCACAGCCTGAGGTCAAAGAAACCACGAGTTCAGAAAATTGTGAGGCCAAACTTTTTTAGTGATTGTTGTGAAGTTGTGAACTCTTGAAACAATCTTCCAAAGAATGCTGTATCGGCTCCAAGTGTGAGCTCATTCAAGACCAGACTTGACCTACACTGGCGAAGGTTCAAATACATTCTTGACCCAACAGTACTTACCAACAGTGCACGTGATCGATTGCCCAGGCGGTTAACAAACTAATCAGCGGTGAAGAGGATAAAGTAAAATATGTAATCTTCCACTAATAGCCTTGAATATATATTATAGCTGGCAACTGTTGTACAAAAGAGTTCAGGTGTATGTGATGAACGCAATACTTTATCTTTCAATACAATGTGTACTGTACGTATTGTACAGTCAGCGAAAAAACGTTTTGCACCCCGAGGTCTGAATGCCTTTGCAAAGATCACTGACTGAGGTCATGTTAATTTGGTACGGTTGGTATTTTTACTTTTTACTTTTTTACTTTATCCTTCTTCGCCACTGATCGGCTTGTTAGTCGCTTGCCGGTCGTCTCTTTTCCTTTATATTCTTTCACCAAAGGTCGGCTCATGAAGCTGCCCGGGCGATCGTCACGTCTCTGTCACGCACTGTTGCAAAATACTGGGCATGCACCGGCTCCTGAATGTACCTGAACCCGCTCCAGTGTTGGTCAAGTTTCCTTGAAAGAGCTCACACTCGGTGCCGTCACAACACCTCGCAGATTGTTCTAAGAGCTTATAACCTCACCCGAAAAGTTTGCTCCTCACGGTTTTCCGGACTTGCGGCTTCTTCAATCTTGGAGCGGCCCTTGTGGGGCGAGCGTCCGCCAGCTCCAAGTAAGGACACTCAACTGAGTAGTGCCCCTGGAGATGCTTATAAACCCCAACTAGGTCCCCTTGCCCGTCTGTAGTATAAGCTAGGCAAGTTCAGGCGCTCCAATCTCTCAAGGTAGCTGAGGTGCCGAAGTGCAGGCACCAGTCTGGTGGCCCTCCCTTGAACATTTTCAACCAACTGACAGTCCCTAGCATATCTCGGGGACCAGACCGGGGTGACAGCACTCCAGATGGGGAAGCACTTCACTTTTGAAGATCGTTACTAGGGACGGACCGTCTAGATATCTGAACGACCTTCTTGTAAGACCCAATAATTTATTTGCCTGATTTACCTTCTTCTCGCAATGGACCGAGAACTTCAGCTAATTGTCAACATACACACCTAGGTCCTTCTCACACAGTCTCAACTAGTACATTTTCTTCATCCTGCTGGGACATATGGTACGCCTCCTTACCGTTGGTACGCCCCAGGTGCATCCTCTTCCAAGACTCTGTGACATTGAATCTCAGCAGCCATTCCTTCGACCATTCCTGGAGCCCACAGGTGTCCTTCTGCAGCCTTCTTCAGTCCGGTTGGTTCTTAATTTCCCGAAATAACTTGGCGTCATCGGCAAACATTTGTATGGAGGAGTGTACAACGTCAGGCATATCATTTATGAAACAAACAAACAACAGCGGGCCCAATACACTACCCTGTTGTACCCCACTTGTTACAGGTACAGATGACGATTTCGTGCCATTAATCATCACACATTGCTTGCGGTCATGTAGAAAGTCTTCTATCCACGCTAGGACATTTCCCCGAATTCCGTACCCTTCCAGTTTGATTTTCAGCCTTTCGTGGGGTACACTGTCGAAAGCCTTGGCAACATCTAGGTAAATATTGTCGATATTACCAACTTCAAATTTGGTAAATATGGGTCCAAATATCCAATAATACCTTGAGCAATTGTGTCAAGCAAGAGCGCCCCGACATAAAAACGTGTTGGCAATCTTTTACAAGGTTCTTTCGTAGTAGATGTTCCATCGCTGCATCTCTGATAATACTCTCAAGTACCTTACATATTATGCTGGTCAGGCTCACCGGTCTATAGTTGTTCGTGGAGTGACTATCGCCCTTCTTGAAGATAGGACTCACATAAGCCACTTTCCATTCACTGGGGACCATTTGTTCATCCAGGCATTTACAAAACAGAATCTTCAGGGGCTCTGCAAGCTCGTTGCACAGCTCCTTTAGCACTCTAGGATGCACCATGTCAGGTCCAGGACTTGCGGACCTTTTAGCCTGGACAGTTATTTCTAACACCCTCTTCTGTGAACACAATGTGGTCATGCTGTGTCGAACAGTCTGTCCTCAAACGCAGGTAGGTCAATCGCATCCTCTCTTGTGAACACCGAGGAAAAGAAGCTGTTCAATGCCTCAGCTTTGTCCTGATCAGAATCTGCGTAACTACCATCTTTAAGGCTCAGGTCTGATACTCCTACTCACATTTTTAATTTGAACTTTGCATAGCGGTAAAACGCCTTTGGGTTTGACTTGACCTCGCTTGCAACCAGCCTCTGGCACTCCTTTTCAGCCCTTCTACACTCTCTCTATCTTTGTCTTGGTTTCTGGCTCTTTCACAGATCCTCCTGTCTTGCTCATCGTTTGACCCAACCCACGTCTTGAATTTCTGGGTTTTCTTCTTAATTTTGTCGACCTCCGCATGGTTCATGTGTAGGGATCCCCTCGTATTCCTAGAAGCACTGGGCTTGGTCTTGCGTATATATTTATCGATCAAATGGGTTATTTTACTAGTTATGATATTCAGCGTAGTGTCTGTGTTCTTGTACCTTAATAAGTGAAGCCAGTTGATATCCCTCAACTCTTCCCTCATCCCATTGTAATTTCCCTTGTAATATTTGCACCTTGGCATGGCCTTATCCTGAACTAGGTAACAGTTAAATCTGAATGACAACACTGTATGGTGACTGGTGCCAACTGGGGCAAGGTGTTCCAGTTTGGCCACCATACCCTCCTCGTTTGTTATGATGAGGTCAAGTGGCTTGGGTGTTTGTTCCCCTCTGTAATGTGTCGGGTCTCTCACATGTTGGAACAGAAAATTATCTCTCAGAGTTTCTACAAAAAGAGTAGCAGGATTATTCAAGTCATTCGGGGTTGACTCGTTTCTCCAGTCGATGTCGCCATAGTTAAAGTCCCCTATGATAAGGAGGTGGCTGGGGTTGAGCATCGCCGCATTGTTTATTAAGGTTCTTAAGTTCCTTTGATTTAGT